AGTAGAAACAATAAGCTACTAGGAACAAGTGCATCGCTACTAGTAACGAGGGCCTTACTACTAGTAACAAGAAGCTAGTAGAAACAATATAGAATTAAGTGTAATTAGAATAAAATATTGCTAGCTGACGACCTGGAGCCCATCGCCCCATCCAAGCCCGCCCACCTCGGCGGCACGTTCTCGCCCATCCGGGGCGGTCCTGTTGTCGACGAAGGGTCCGTATCCCGGTGGGACGTAAGTGGTCTGTTCATTGGGACAACATATACTCTTACAGCAGTTGCAGCGACTGGAACACCACATTCTTTCAGTGGCACGACGTCCGATACAAAGGAGACACAAGCGACACATGCCACAAATGACCTCCCGGACAATTTGTCCTACAATCCTGCCAACAACTGAGTTTCAAAACGAACCACTTAAAGACCCACGGCTGTGAGACTACCTTTCATCCTCGCGGCGGGCTGACACTACTTTCTGACAAGAGGGGCCCCTCGTAGGTGTCTTACATCGGACCCCTCTATTAACTTGTCCAGCTGGGTGATGTATATATATATATATGTATATTTTAATATATAGTATATAGGATATATATATGTAACTATATTGTAATTTTAGTATAACTTGTGTTTGTATATATTAATATGAGATTATATGAGTACATGTCCGAGGCGTTCGACATCCACCAAGGTTCTTTTCCTGATCTAAACACCCAAAGCATCAGACCCACAAAGCGATCCATGGCCGCCCACGGATGGCCCGTTGCGAACCATCGCGCCTACGCTCGGCAGCGTTCTGGATCGCCCCTAAGGTTTGGTCGAAACTGTGGAGAGCACGAAGGTTTGGAGGTTTCTCCGAAGAACATGGTTTGCTTTTCGTTTTTTTTCATGCGTCGGACTCGGTTTTTCATGGAGAAGGCTGACAAAAACATTCTGACGACGCGGCCAGTGAACGAGGGTTGAGAGAGACACGCAGCGGGGTTAGTTCAAAGACGAAGCTCGCTTGTTCACAGGAACATCAGCCTTCCAAGCGAGGAGGGAATTGCCAGTCTTCCGGATGGCGAGGATGTTTTTTTCATAAACAGTGACTTGACCTCCACAGCACTGAGCTTCAGGGTCATCCTGTTGCTGCTCCACGTGTTGGTGCTCAAACGCCGTTCAATCCATTCCATCCCCCAAAAAAACGGATAAACCATGATAAATATCACTTATGGATGCCAAACCGAATCTCTATCTATCCACTCATCCGTGGCTGACCCCCCACAAAGAGGCAGTCCCTGAAATTGCCAAGCTCCGCGGTTTCAGTAAGAGAACAGAAGGCTGAAGTGTCACCCCAAAAATGGTCGGTACTGGTGAATGATACACCCAACCCTAAACAGAATAATACCCTTATATACCCTTATAGGAAAAGGTTTTAAGGAACCCAATAGCGATGGCCTCCATATGATGCTACGACGCCTCCTCGACCAGCAGCGACGGGGTCCGCCGGCGCCCAAGGCAGTTTCCGTCGCTTGAACGACATGGCTTTCAACACAGGCGCAAAGGGGCTCAGGGAGGATTTGATCGAAGGGTTGATGATGTCTTGGGTGAAGTACATAGACATAGCTCCTTTTCGAAGGGCTGGGGGGAGGATCTCATCCTGGTGAGCCTTGAGATCCGGAACCCAGTTACACTCCGCCCACCATCGTGGTTTACTCAGCACGCACGAGCGATGGCTCCTTGGAAGGACTGCATCCGGAGCTGCCCCACATGAGGATCAGGGGTGGGATCATCCATTGACTATCCCTGGCATGAGAGGGCTTAGGCTTAAACCAGAGCTCCACCTACAGCCAAGACCTCAAAAAGGACCATGTCTACTGGTTTACTGACATGGTTGTTGTGGTTCACTTGGAATTGTCTAGAGGATGTCCTAAATCTTTTGTAACCAGCGAATGTCATCTCCTGCATCCACTGTTAAAGTGTCATGGCAAGAAGCTACTAGGGGCTCCTGGCATCGCTACTAGGAGCAAGGACGCTACTAGGGGCTCCTGGCCATACTACCAGGAGCAAGAAGCTACTAGTAGCAAAGGGCATCGCTACTAGTAGCATGGTTGTGGTTCTCTTCATCCTTTCATCTTTCGCTCAGCTTTCCCGAGCGAACAGCTGCCCATGAATTTGAGCAGCGAGGCACCGGCGAGGCATGGCCAGGCATGGCGATGACCCGCCAGGATCCATCAACATGGATCCTACATGGATCCATAATTTCATGTCCACCCTTTGCATGGAGGTGTCTTCCTCTCGAAACCAAACACTCTGATACTTGGGGTACTACTTGGGGTATATACCGCTATGGAATGTCTTCGCCCGACTTGGATCTCGCCCCCCTGGCATCGTGTGGTTCTTCGCCCACCGATCGGTGCGGTCGAAGCGATCTCTCCATCTCCGTGGCCACACATCGCTACGAACGGAGCAAGGACGCTACGAACGGGGCTCCTGGCCATACTACGAACGGAGCAAGAAGCTACTAGTAGCAAAGGGCTTGTCTTGGCCCCAACAGATGTTCTGTGCGGGTAAAAAACACCAGTGTAGCCGGATAACCAGGCGTAACACACCGAACCAGCAGCAGTCACATCTGCTTCACACCCTCTGCTTCACACCACCCTCCAACTCTTCCCCACGCAGGAGCCCAGCGCACCCAAGGGTTCTCCGCGAGCCAAGGGTTCTCCTCCTCCGCTTCCGGTCTAGAAGGCCTTCGTTGCCGGCTGTGCTGGCCTTCTAGAGGAGACCTGTTTATCTCCAAAACTCCAAGTATATTCTTGAGGTCCTATATATCCAGTGCAATGTGTAACACTACTCTGAAAAAAGAATGCCCATGTTATTCTCGCTGTATTCCCACACACGATTGGCGCTCTGACTCTTTGTGCAACGCATGATATGAAAAAACACGACATGTGGCAAAAGAGACATAGCAGTCCATGAAGGCTCTATTCCGGCATTCCCCAGTTGCATATGCCAAACCGTGGGGTTCTACATGCTTGCAGAAGGTCAGAAGGTGTCATGTCCTTTCAGTTAGCTGATCTTTGAGGGGGGTGCGGTGGGGCAACACTTCCTTTCAATTTTCAACCGAATCCCTTACCCTTCCATAACCTCGCTAAAACTCCCTACAGTACCTAATAGGGATGGCCTCCAACCTAAGCGCGATGGCCTCCAACCTAATAGCGATGGCCTCCAACCTACTGGCGAACTTTCATACTTTCACTGTGAACTGCAAACAAACACGCACCCTTCCGCCAGCCTGGACTCTGTTGCAGGTGCTGCGTTCGAAGCTGTAGCTGCAGGCCCTGCATCTCCGGGCCGGACTCGGATCAAAGCGTGCACGACATGCTGATGCTGCATGTTTGCTGGGATACTTGCTCTACAGGGGCGCTCACGTGTTCTGTGCTTGAGTGCCAAGCCAGGCATCCTTGCTTTACAACTCATCTATATGTCCTTTATTAACAATGCATTGATACAGCGTTCCACCTTGTCGTGCTCTTTGGTGGATACGGAATACAGAAGTACATTAAGCCGTATCTTAAAAACATCTAAAAACACTCTGTTCATGCTTGCTTGCTCCTCTCTGTGTCTTCTGGCCGCCTCCCGCGGAGGCCGCAGGTGCGCTCGGCGCCGAGCTCGTTGGCACCGTGTCTGTCGTGGCGACCTCGAGAGCTGACGCCGTCCGAGCGCGGGGGTACCAAGAACACTGCTTACAGGCTCTTCTGCTTTGTCACAGTCCATGGATTTTGCCAGAGACTGGTGAGGAAGCCTACAAGCACATCCAGACATCTCGAATTGGCAGTCGCTTTGTTACTGGTAAAGACCTGGTGCTCTACAGCCGTGGGTTTTGCTTGTAGAGGTACTACCCTATGGTTCCCTGTCACCAACATTACATGGTCACCTACAGATACCTACAGGCATTTTGTGAATATATGAGTACCACAACCACTGCTGAGTTGTAACACCAGGCATGGTGGCTACGTCAGCTTCCGATCAAGCAATGCCAAGGCGCGCCATGGATGGTCAAAGGCCCAGACACCTCGAAAACAGAACCCGGGTCTATGAGGATCAGTGAGTCACACTCAAGGCATGATATCTCTGGTGCTATTCAGATTCAGAACAATCCGGTTGGAGGCCAGCGCTATCAGGGTCGAGGCCATCGCTACTAGGTTGGAGGCCTTCGCTATTAGGTTGGAGGCCATCGCTATTAAGTTGGAAACATCTTTGCAACAACTCCTGATGGAGCAAGCTCTACGGTTGTTCAGCATACACTTTGTAATGCACTTCGTCTAAGAAGCTCTCAGGCTCCTGCACTGTAGCCCGTGACGGTGTCATCCGCGTCCAGCATAGCATCGACCTGCGAATCTGAGCACTATCTTTGGGGGACTCTCTTCTGACAACAATAGGGAAGTGGGCTGCATTCTGTTTTATCACTACTACTACTACTACTACTACTACTACTACTACTACTACTACTAGTACTACTACTACTACTACTCCTCCTACGACGACTACGACTACGACTACGACTACTACTACTACTACTACTACTCCTGCTGCTGCTGCTACTACTACTCCTGCTACGACTACGACTACGACTACGGCTACGGCTACGGCTACGGCTACTACTACTACTACTACTACTGCTACTGCTACTGCTACTGCTACTGCTACTGCTACTCTTTACAAGAACTTGTTTCCTAACTTTTCTTGGCCACCCCTTGCCACCAAAGAGCGATTTGTCATAGCCCTTGAATATCTGTGGTCTGATGCTGGATGACCATCTAGAGAACATGGTGGTTTGGGGCTGCCATTTTGAAGCATCTGCCTGTGCTCCTATCGTCTCTTGGTTTGTTCCATGTTCCATCTACTTTAGGACAACTTTACAAGTGACATGTAATTTGGTATTTCATCCTCAAAGGCCAGTACTTCGGTAGATAGATGTAAGTGAGCATCCTCGAGTGACTCCAGTAGACCACGATGCTATTTAAAAAAAAAAAAAAGTTTCATAAAAATCTATCTACTACGGGATGACAACCTATAATCCACTAGTCCCTTAGCTTTCCAGGATTTGCCTAGAAAATATTCTACTTTGCAACCAAAACAGGAGTCCAACAATGCAGCAGGCAAACCTGGGATTCTTTGGCAAACCGGAAGGTCCAGTTTTGACAGGTGCCACTTCGTATCACTTCATGAATGCGTCTGAATACAAAAAGAAACTAAGACCTACCGGACCTGCCAAACCCCAAAGGCTGGAATCCATTCGTTTGAGGCACCTCTTCGAAACTCCACCATCCCTCGCGTTGATGCTCTTTCATTCAACCGCTTGCGGGAAGGACGGCCTCCTTTCGCGCTTGTTCCAATTCTTCGGCAGTGAAGCGCTGTTCAACCTCAGTGGTAAAGCTTGACCCATGTGAGTGGTCCTGGTTCCTCCTGGTTCCTCCTGGTTCCGGGGGATTGATGCGCTGCAACGTTCCGATCATTCTGTTCAAATCCGCAGGATCTACACTAGCCGGTGAAAGCATGTCAAAGCAACCGATGGCGGAGGCCATTGCTATGGTGGGAAATTCACTACGGATGTCAACGTTCGCATCTGTGCGCCCCCACTCGGCTTGGAGCCGCTTCTGGAGGCACCTCGCCAAAACGGAGCGCGTTGGCGGCGGTTTGCAAGAAGTGCAGCCCGTTCAGCTATAACTTAGGGACCGTTTCAACCCTCATTCATGTGACTGTGCCTGTCATGTATATACTTGGTTCAATCTTGTGGCTAGGAGTGTGAAGTACTTGACCTCCTCCAGGTGGTGTCGAATATACCCAACGGCCACTAGACCTCAGTTGGATACCTAGGCTGGTCGTAGTTCTTTCCACTCGGGCGATTACAACGCAAACGGTTCAGCTTGCGGTGGTCAGCGGCCCCAGCAAAACTGAAGCAAACAGAACAAGAAACCCTGCTTCTTGATTTAGTAGCAGCTCCGCAGGGCCACTTGGTAATGGCAGGAGACTCTTTCATGCACTTTCCAATTATAGCAACTCCAAGCGACACCTGAGTTCTAAGAACTAACCTAATCCAGCCACTCAAGCGCTGCTTGCCGGAGCTCTCGGTTCCAAGACTTGACATTTGTACCTGGTACCTTTCTTCCTTGCCATTCGAACCAAACGCATGTGGAACTCCAATGTGAACCCACTCCTGTGATCACCTGCTTCGTGCATCGCCCCATAACAAAGTAAACAACCTAGTATAACACACTGTTGCAGTCAGCTAAGCAACCCATTCAGGTGTCCAAAACCAGAGTCGCACACCTTCTCCTCCTCATCTTTGTCGTCGTCTTTGTAATCATCTTTGAACTTCCCCGTCTCTAGCCCTTCCAGCTCCTGACTCTAGTTCGAAGAGCACAGGCACAAGTTTGCATGAACAGGTTGGACAACGGCAGATGTGATTCGGCTTGATCCCTTCATCTGCAAACAAGTTTATCAAACAAGCTCGGTTTCATCGGATTGGTTGCAGCAATG